AATACTTTTCTAAATTGAAAGTCACGCCAGGGCTAAAGTGTGTATGATGTCACTTTCTGAGGAACCGCGAATTCGCGAAAGCGTACAAACTAGCCGTTGTGGACAGCCTGAGAACGCGTCTTACATAAATTTAGTAATCGATTTTGATGACGCGTCGACGTTCGGGAACACTACGTCCAGACAGGGAAAACGCAACCTCTCAACATTAATACACAGGTGGATGGCGGGTTGCATACCGCAAGAAGTTAAGGGTTCTAGCTTTTGTATCATTTCTCCCATTTATTGAGAGAGGCTTCTGACGTTCGGTCCGCTGAATGCGATTATCTAATCGGAAGTTTTAATACCAAAAAATAAGTCGTAACGAAGCTCCAGATGAGTCACGTGACGTCGCACTACGTGGAAAAAAGGACCGGACGTCACGAGGCTACAGCCTATGGTAGAACAACAGCTTTGTCGAACATTAAACAGTGAGTAAAGAAGAAATAAGAACAAGTGACGTACAGCATGGAGTACGTGAAATTAAAGATTCAAAAAGAAGTTTCAAGACCAATACTCACAAATTGTAAAAAATGTCTTTCTCGTACTTAAACTGTAGTAGTTCGTCAAGCAAAGAACCTGGTGCTCGCAAAAGGAAAAAAATCAATTACCAACTTAAACCTTGTCAGTAGACGAATTTCATTAAAAAAATCAAATTACAAAGATTAGAAGTAGCCATGAATAAACTTCAACGATGAAAAATACTCATCCACCATCAAATTCACAAACCTCAGAAGAAGATTAGAAGGGTACTACTAATAACTTTATTAGATACCCGTTCACATTTCTTCTAATACTACGAGCAGCGAAGACAACTAAAACATATAATGGAAGTTACAAAATGGACACCTCGCCAGTAAAGTAATACGACCCTCAAAATGGGATAAAAACTGAACAGAAATAACTTAACACATCTTCAGAGCACAAACTCCTTAGTCAACATGAACCACAACCACAACCACCAAAAGGTTCAACCCCTTACAGGAAGAAATCGAACTCCTGCCTTCGTAGAGACACGTGCGTAACGTTGAGGACAACTGTGCACAAACACGGCGAGAACAGAATTAGAAACCAATTAGTAGGTTTAGTGATTTTTAAGTTCATGAGTAATGATGTTCAACTTTTTGTAAATCATCTTTGTGCTGTCATCGAAAAGTCAGATCACAATGCAGAGTTAATTTTCAAATTTGCAGGCTGTCACGCATCCAAAAGCTATTTGCAAGAACTTGATTGGTACTTTAAGAAATTTTGAAAATATTTATTTTATGAATTAAAAAAAACAGTAATATAATTAAAAAAACTATTATAAAGGTTTTTCTGTAAAAAGTACAAAGCATATATATGTAAAAGTAGATTACAAAAGACTGTTATTTCATAGATGAATAAGCCCATGTGAATTTTTATTTTGAATCAAAATTATTGTTCAAATGTTTAACTGTATTTGGCCATTTTATTGTTTTATCTGGGAAGAACCCAAAAGAAAAATACTTGAATAACTATTGAAATTTGTGTGTTCGTCGTAAGTAAATTAATATTAAACAGTTTGCGGCCATGACGTGCCTGTCCTAGTGGCTAGAACTTTAACATATTTAACTGAAAGCCAGATTTAGATTCCCGCCGTTTTCAGGGCAATTTTTTTCTTATATTTACCCCTAGAATATGGGAAACATTTTCATAATAACTTGTGAAAGTTCGGAAAAATTCCGAAAATTGCAAATTTTAATCTCACGCGCTCTTTTTGCTGAGGAATGCTTTCCGCGAGATGGCTGAAAAAATAGAAGTGTAGTGTTACAACATTACGTATGCGTTACCAATAATACGAAAAAGATGTGCGAATAATATGAAAATGTACGTTTGGGAGCCCCTGATTCCGAAAGAGTAGGTTCTGATTCCTTCTGTGAGTACGAAATCACTTTCTCTAATACGTTATCATCCACGATTCATTAGTCCTTGATACCGAAAACGTGCTTCGTGTTCGTCTATGACCGCCAAAACCGAAGAATGGATGCCAAAATTGATATTTCTTATTAGCCCTTTTTTAAACTGTTTTTTTACTTATACGAGGAGAAAATTTTAAAAAATCGAAACGATTTTTTTGAAATTTTTTAACTTTTAAGCAAGAGTTACGTGAAATCCATTAGTTTTCTCAAGATATTGTTAATGACCTTTTTTAGAGAGGTTTTTACAACAGAATTTAAGGCAAAAATAATTAATCCTAAATTTTATAGTTGTGAAATGTTAGCTTTTTGCAATTTTTGAAACTGGGAAGAGTGCGCTGATAAAGGGACCAATACCATACTTTTTATCATACTTGATACATACAATGAGAAATTTGAAAGAAAAAATGTTTAAAAAATTGAAAGTTACCTATAAGTTGCGCAAAAGTACACAAAAACTACTCATATTTTTGACAAATTGAACAAACCTTATTTCAAAACCTCTTTTAACAGATTTTCTGCAACATTATATAACTTTCTCTGTTCGTACACATGAAAGTATAAATGAGGTTGCGAGATCAATATGTTTAAGTTTTTTGTTCTCAAATAAAACCCAGGAATTAAATACTTAATAATTAATTGGTTAAGGAGAAAGCGTTACTAAAACGTTCCATAGTACTTCTGGGTATAATTTTTATTGTTAATGTTATAACGTAGAATTGCAACGTGCTTTACGCGTTTGATTTTTTATATATTTTCGTCGTAAAATTTGCTAGTACATTTTGAACACGCACTTAAGTTTCCCCCCAATTGAAAGTGGAATAAATGATGCGTTTAAGATATTTTTCGTTTGGTTAAGTAAATATTCTCTTTAGTTCCATGAGCAAAGAATTGATAATCGCTATGTTAATTTCACGCGTGCAATTGAAGTCCATTGTGCCATTAAAACTCGACAAGGACCAATTAGATTTCAGAAAATGATCAAAATCTTTTAATTGAGACACTATAACACAGACGTGGTCAAGGTATTTCTAGTCGGTAAAGAAACATGAACAAATATGTTCATCGCAGATTACGCACCTACATCATTCCTTAAAAACATAAATGAATCAAACAAAATTGAAGAAGTAAACATTGTTTTGGCTTTAGCTACCTAATAGAACAACATAAAATATTTAACATGAATAAATTAAATGTTTTGTACTGTTGTTAATGTTGTAAAGTAACGCGTTTAAATTTTTATACAGTTTTACCATTTCTAAAAAGTTCGCCAGAAAAGCTGAGTCAGAAGTGACTTGAATTTTTTACTGACCAATATTTACACATGTTGTATTCTCTCCCATGTCTCTCTAACTTGTTTATGGGAAGTAATGTTTTCATGTTTTTTCAGCTTCTTCTAATATTCATCCGAAATATATTCGATATCTTTATTTTCATCCTCTGTCACTGTAGTGATCGTAAGTTCACAGTGCAAAGCTCACTAACATAGGTCTTGTCCAGAACAAATACGATGTCATCGAGTGCAAAGCCTCGAATGGTAAAAGGGGTAAAAAACTCTTAAATTAAAATTATTTTTAAATGGAAACGAAAAAATATTGACCATTGCACGTGGATAAAGGATTATAACTGTACTCATGGTAAATAATAACACTCGCTCCTTTTCTTGAACGTACCATTAGTACAATTATACCCTTCTTTATCTCCTACATTAGTTATGAAGTTGAGCGCTTGAGCAGTAAACGGTTTTGAGAGATCCGGTGGCGCCTCCAGAATTCGTTAACTGTCGTTGCCTTTTCGCTAGTGGACGCGGAGGACAGACACGCCCCGAAAGCAGGCGTAGTATCGGTATCGTGTATTCTCGATATTGCCAGCGACGGAACTAGCGTTTTCGGAGATAGCTGTCTCGGCTTTGAGACAATTGAAACCGAGAGTTTGTCACCGTCTCTACTTGTGGTTCGTAAATCGGTAAATCAATCACAACTTTCCTCGACGTTTTCAATATCTCAGTTTTAATTTCTAAAATGTACTCGATAGAATGGCAAAAACGGACATTTTGCCTTGGTGGCACATGCCCCAACCTGCCCCCCCCCCTCACCGCGCCCTGCCTCGCCCTGAAAGGATTCCGGCCTGCGAGCCTCGTACCTGAACTCCACGCGGCTGAATGGGAAAAACACAAAAATTAGAAAGTTGCTTCAGCTTATGTTCTGACGCTCTCCTCCCCCTGTGTCGGTCAGGCGTGCTAGCCACCGCTGCATTGACTCCAGATCCGCGGTTGGCAAATAAAGGAAACAAGACGACGAATCTAACGAAAACTGCAGTCGTATTAAGATGTAAAATAGACATTGAAGAAATGGGGCGAAATATTGTATTATATAGAAAATTTGTTGAAATTGTAGAAATTAAGAAAAATGATACAAGTAGGTCCTTGGCGTTTTTAATCTTCTTTCAAAGTTGACGTTTGTAACTTTGAATCATGTTTAAAATTAAACTTTTGAGTAAAAAAAAATAAATTTCCCATTCTCTTGCTATCCATATTCATTTGTTTATTTAATCATTAAAGTATTTCGGGCAGATTAAAAGTACATTACTACAACATCCAGCATCAAAAGTATTTTTGTTTTATCGAGTAATCAATTTGCTAATTATTCAATTTAATTCACAATATTGTATGTATTTGATATTCAAAGAAACAATTTGCCGTTGCTGCATATTAAACTTTCTCGTTAAGAACGACTTGCCGTGTATGCCCTCAAGTAAATCTGCAGAATTTGGATCCGTAACTACGCAGTTCTGCCAGCAAAAGGCGAAACATTTTGACCAGACGTGTACTTCGAGGAATTGTAGCATCCGTTTCGTAATTCTCCCTAGCAACTGAGGCAAAGAATAGACCCAGCGCCATACGTCCTCCCCCTCCAACCCCCCCCCCCCGAAGGTAACAAGCCGAAGGAGCGGGCCGGAGTCTGCGGGCCAATAGGGGGGCCTAATGAGACGGGGCGCTCCGCTGCACCTTTCTCTCTCAACCCACAGCGTCCATCAGTTAGCGATCTGAAGTTCCTGGGAGAGCACGCCAAGACACCTGGTCTCCACGATCTGTTCGTCGCTGCGGTAGAAGATACAAGCGTTATGGCGCACTGCTCTACTGAAGAAGGTAAGTAATTCTTCAAATCGTAGGTTCCTTGTACCGTAATTAGTGTGTATTTGTATCATAACTACGCGATGTGCAATGAAACAGATGTAAAGCGAAACTTGTCCTCGATGTGCAAACGAAGCGAATTTTCGATCGATCTGCGTCAAAACTATTTTTATTACGATTTGTAACTGCTTTCTAAAACAAACCTTGATACTTTACGTCTGGAAAAGTAATTATTGTGGAGCAACTGCACCACCAAATTCAAAAAAATTATTACGAATATATTTCTCTGGGACTTCAAACTGAACATCTTAGGCCCCGACACCGCAAGCGCGTTACGTAAACATTGTAATTCCCGCAAGACGCTCTACATTAACTGTTTAATGAACAACTTCAATTTAATTTAATAATAGCAGTTACTATAATATAATTTAATTTAATAACTGTAATACATTATATTTGTATATAAGATACTAGTTTATATAACTATCTTTTTTATTGATTACATGATGGTAGACTTGCTAAGTCTAAACAAAACTATTTAAAAATAATATAAAGTGTGAAATTATATTTTATTAGTTCTTCACTCAAATTTTTATTGCACATATGATAATTAAATGGCTAATTACGTTTTTTGGAAAGTAGGAGTAAATACAGAAGTTGAAAAGTGTTTGTTCACCATTTTTTAAACTACTTTGTTATATTCTGGAGATATCGGTGTTCTAATTCCAGCGTATAGTCAGAAATCTTTCTTATATTTATTGGACGCGGGGCGTACCGCTGGTGTGTGTGTGTATTCTTTGATGGGATGTCGGGTCGATTACTAAATGGTATAAAATCCCCATGGGCTGCCGTTGGCTACACATGGTTTGTATTGACAATTTGCTCTAACAATTATTGATAAAATGTTTACGACTTCATGCGAAAAATATTAGTAGTATTAACCGGGGACTAGCATTGCTCCTAGAGCAGTTTTGCTGTAGAAAAATATTTTTTGATTTACTTTTTAGTGAATGAAATAATTCATAAAATCAATTTTTCATATGAATTTTTTAAATATGTTTAAAATTAGGGATTTGTCGTGTTTTTATTTGCTTATATTTATTTAATATCCACTCTATCTATGTACACTTTTGCAATATTTATAAGTCTATTATAGTATTCTGCTTTTTAAGAATATTTAAGAATGGATTGTAAGCAAACCGATTTCAAAATATTAAGTGATTTTTTAATATATTCAATTCCAAAAATTTTAAAGAATTTTGTAGGACGAACTTATTTAGTCTCGCTTCAACTTAAAATACAAATCCACATCACTATTTCTTTATTCAGTCAACATCGATTCAGTTATACGCGGAACCCAGGTATGGCCAGTTGAAAAAGTGTTCTCGGAGCAGTCTTATTCTGTAACTTCCCATTGTGTGGGTTTGTAGAAAGGCGCTCT